GGTGATCATCATGTTACATTTTCTCAACCATCCCAAGCTCTTTATATCTTCACTAATTTTACGATCAATCGGATTCACAACGACAAGCAGTGAAACCCGAAGAGCACTAGGGACCAATCCTTCCTGTCTACTGTAATATGTATATGAGCAAGAGATAACAAAAGATACATGAAACTTTGTAAACTATTTTGCTATGCAATAAATCCTTCTATTTTTATTAAGTTTGTGTCTAACAATCCAATAATTATTCGAAACATTACTTCACTCACCAAATTTTAGCCGCGATAAATGTAATTAAACGATTTTGATATAACAAAGGGCTAAATGTAATTAAACGATTTTGATATAATAAAGGGCTAAATGTAATTAAACGATTTTGAAATTTGTAACCAACAAACATCTACTAGAGTAGTCATCAATAAATGAGACAATGAACTTTGCTCCGCTTAGGGATGTAATTGGTGCTTGCCTCTAGAATTTGATGTGTTGAATTTTAACCGATGTTGTTTAATTGTTATACAGTGCTCACATAAAGAAAGTGATACCTTTGTTAAGCCTGGAAGTAGCTTTTGCTCCACAAGGACTTTCATTACTTGTTCTAACATGTGTCCATATTTCTGATGCCATAACATTGTAGAATTTGAACTACATGAGGCAATTGAGGCTTCTGCATCTAGAAAAAGTCTCTCCCTTCAACATGTATAAATTTGTTGCTATCTTTTCGCCTTTCATCACCATAAGCGCTCCATGGAACACCTTCATGGTCCTCTATGTGTTTCGATCTTGCTTTCATTATTATCCAATAATTCGTAGGATAATAAAATTTTCTTCAAGCCTTTCACGTGTCGTACATCTCAAACAACTTTAATCGTTCCATCATACATCTTCAATTTGATGGTTCTAACCCCAACCATTTTCAAGGCATGATCATTGTAATTGTACATAGATCCTCGTGACATAGGCTTATAATGATGGAACCATTCTCTTCTTGATGTCATTTGATATGTTGCTCTTGAATCAATAAGTCATATATCTACAAATCTCTTTCTACTTTCCATGGTGGTTGATGCTTCACAACATAGAGCATCCCCATCATCTAAGAGTTTGCGATATTGCCTTATGGGTTGGAGTTTTTAGCTAAACTCCAACAATTCTTCTTCAAATGATCATTCTTTCTACAGTTGAGAACTTTAAATTCTTCTTACTTCTCGATTTTGATCTACCACGGTTATGAATGTGAAAACTGTCGTTTTGATGTCAAAATAAATTCCTCCTTTTCAATTAATAAATAAAGGAAATACGTAGTAAAAAGAAGTAAAGATCGATCCTCATGGACTTAGAAAATTCCAAAATTCTGTTTGAATTGCTTATATCAGGCGATAAGTAGTAAAAAGGGGGTTTTAGTAAAAATGATTAAAAAATAAAAAGCGATTTAAAGAAAAATAAAGAAAATAAAATTTGAAGGTTGAAATGAATATGGTAAAAAAACCTCAAGCCTTGATTTGACTCAATTTCCTTCGGATCATCGAATTAGATTTTTCCTTCGGGATTCACGTCGGTTACTTTGTCTACAAGGGCAATCCTCGTGACTCTTCTTTGTATACCAAATACCCGAGGCATTCTTTGATTCCAGCTTCGGAAATTGATCTGATCAACATCAATTGTCGTAGATCAATAACCTTTTAAATTCGTGAAGACCGACTCGGATTGTTGTTTCAATAAATACTAATTTCGATCTCAATTCCCTCTTGGCAAGGCAATCTCGCCAAGTGTGTTCCCAGGAAGTCGAATGTGCTTTCAATAAGCCGATCCTTCCTCGCACACATTTAATAGCAACAACATCTTGACCAAAGTCAATCTTTGATTTTGAAAATTGTTTTGATTTTGAAAATAAGCTCAGAGATTGAGAGAGATATTCCGAAGTTATTTAAGTGTTTTTCAATTCTCATGTTGGAATTTACTCATCGTTTCAGCGCTCGGCTTATGAGAAAATTATCTAAGCATGAAAAAAGCCATACTTAGCATATTTAAAAACAAATCTTAAATAAAAGAAAAAAGAAAACTTGAAAAATAAAAGAGAACTTTTATAAAACTATAAAGGAGACGAAGAATAAATTATGAGTTGTGTGTTTAGGCTTGCTCCAAGAGGGTATTTATAGCCTCTAAAAGCCTAGAGATAAGCATAGAAATTAAAATAAAAATAATCCTAAAGATAATTTCAAATGTTTTCTAAATTCAAACTTTAAAATTTAAAAATAAGTCTCCTAATATATTTCTGCCCGTCCATCTTCCAGAATGCGTTGACTATATCTTCTAAAAAACTACTATTGACTAGACCTTCGAGAAATTGCCACGTGATCAAATCATGTCATGCCCAGAGTCATTCCCATGTCTCCAGCCATGACCAAATAATAAAAAAATGAAAAATGCACTCGTTTTACTATTAAATCAGGAAAGTAAGACTCTGCACGAAAATAAGCATAACACAACCAAATTAGCAGCAATAAATTCATAAGATCAAAGAATTAACGAGCAAATAATATCAATTTAGAACACTCAAATTCCCCCTCACTTATTTCATGCTTGTCCTCAAGTATGATATAATCAAATTAGTCAAAAAAATTCATTTACCTTTCTTTGTCAAGTCTCGCATTCAATGAGGCAAGGTGGAGACCACAATAATTATCCAAGTCAAGACATCAATCAATTGAACATCACCAATTGGAGCAACTTAAATACAATTATAACATCCATTAATTCATCAATCCCAATGACCATAACTCAACACCTTACCAAGATTCACTCAAATCACTCAATGTGTTTGGGGTATAGAAACGCTCAATGTCAAAACCGACACGATATTACCATAGGCCTGCAAGTAAATCAAATCTCTACTACTAATAAGAACAAAATGCATAAATCAAAGGGTCCTTTATTGGTTGTAACGAGGCTTAGGTAAAGGTGGGAATAAGGCTAAATATATGGAAAAATATTCAAGACGAGGAACTACAAATAATAAGTAATACTCCATCAATCGACTAAGTACAACAAGATAAAAGACACAATACCATCAAACAACACATTACCTTTCGAATTGAATTTGATTTTTCCACACTTGTGTTGTTGCTTTGTTTTTCCATTTTTTTCTTATGTCTCTTCCTGTTTTCTTTTCTTTTTTTTTTCGAACTATTTTTTCTCGAAAAAAAATGAAAGAATAACTTTTTTTATTTTTTTTCTCTCTTTTACACATCACATAAAAAAATCCCTTGTTCATGGAGCATACATCGGATAAACTGTTCACTTGTCCTGAAAAAGGTAGAAAAGAGGGGAAAATAACAAGGCTCGGGTTTATAAATGTGATAAATACAAAGAATGGAAATAGGCTCAAGAGTGGTTAACTATGGGAAAATGCATGGGTAGTCAATTTTAGTGGGGAAAATGGATTGGTTAATCCTAAAGTTCCCAAATAATTTTTAAGCATCATGTTCATGTGTAATCTCGACAATATTTAAAATGCAGGTTCTAGAATACCAATGTCAAATTCGACACACCCAATCCAACAAAATGAGAGCAAAATGATATGCTCGTAAAGGCTCAAATCTCACCAAATTGTTTCATGCATTGAGCTAAGCACATTTCAACCAACAAAATCATGGAATATCACAAGAAATCTAACTTGATCACAATTTATGCTATTTGCTATCAAGAATATCCTAACCTAAACAAGTATGTGTTCCCAAACAATCATGGCATTTCAAAAATATTCAACAAGACAAAGGAATTCAATGAAATTTTTCGCAAATCCAATCAACACATATTAGTATCAAAACATAGAGATAAGCAAAGGGAAATTCAACTTAGACTCTATTCCCCCCTCATTTAAAGTGTTTTTCCCCAAAACATAAAATTGAAGTACAAGAAAAGGAATAGAGTACTCCCCGGATTTACTGTCGACCACAGCCACAGTGGGAGGTGTTGGGATAAAAAAGTGGGTTGTCCGGGTTGATACCGTGAACTATAAGTATGGTCAAGTGGTCGGTGGAAAACTGCCATTTAAATATTCTATAAAACCATAAATGAAATGGTACATTAGTAACGGCTGAATGAAAATAGGATCAAAATTTACCTTCAGGGTATTGTCCAATGCCGCCGAATACATGGAACACAATGGGAAATCCAATAGGTGTCGTTGAGAGGAAGAGGTGGCCATGGTTGGTATGGACTGGAAGGACAGTGATGGAAAGTGTGGCAGAGATGGATGACGAACAATGCTCGGTCTGGGGCAGAGAGAGGCGGTGGGTGCGAAGGTCGAATGATATGGCGCGGGTGCAAAGTTGGGTGCGTGGCCTCGAGCTCGAGTCGGGCAAGGATAAGTTGTAGTGGATGTGGCTCGGATTCACTGGACACTTCAACAAAAGTTATGGTGTTGGAACATATTGTTCCACTGCTCTGCGCGAAAGATGTTGCTGTTCAGGGATTGAATTCTATCACTATTCAAATATAAATTTGCAAATCTACCTCGTTTAAGCTCGATAGAAAATTTTGGTCCCTAAAACTAAAAGAAATAATTAAATTATATTTGCTTAATCGAAAAAAAATAAAATAAAAATGCAACGAAATTAAAAACAATGGGTTACCTCCCACAAAGTGCTTTTGTTTAACATCGTTAGCTCGACGACCTGATTCAGACTACAAGTTCTAAGAGAAATACTTCATCCACTTCATATGTTTTTCCAACTAAGAATTTCCTTTTGAAAAATTCTATGATCGTATAATTTTTTTATTTCTCCTTGTAGAATTTGACATTCTCATAGGTTATTCTTTGGATCTTTTTTAGCTTTGAAAGCTTATCTAAAATAACCGATGAAGTGGCATTTTCTCCTAAAAAGGCATTATTTAAGTTTTTCGGCATTTGTTGCAGTTCTATCTCATGTGACTGCAAAACAGAAGGGGGAACTTTAACTTAGAAAGAATCAATTTTAAATTGGCACAATCTGAAACTATTGTTTCCACTTCCTGATTTCCTCATCGTGATCTTCTAACTCCCTGCATAGATCAAAAGAAAAATTAGTTACTACAAACTCATTTTCCAAAGGATCAATAATACCGACATAATTTATGCCACTTTGTCTGGGTGTTTCATTTTCTTATACACATCAAATTATCTCAGCATCAAACTTCATGGTTAAAGTCCTGTTTCTTACGTCAATCTTTGTGTGCACAGTACTTAGGAAGGGTCGCCCCCAATAGAATATCATAAGATGTACTTGTGTGATCATTATCCATATTAATTACATAAACATTAGCATGAAATATTAAGTTGTTTACTTCTACTAGCACATTTTCCAATAGTCATTCCGTGTAAATGACAGATCTATCGACAAACTGAATTGATATTTTTGTATCCTTCAAGGACTCTTAGTAATCATATTGTAAACACATATAGGCATTACATTAATAGAAGCGCCAAGATCATACATGGCTTGTTTTATCCCAACTTTACTAATTTTACAGGGTATTGCGAACATACCTTGGTCTTTCAGTTTCGGTGATAACTTTTGTTGGAATACAGTTGAGACATGTTCTCCTAGATTTACCTTCTCATTCCCAGTAAGCTTCCTCTTTGTTGTGCAAAGGTCCTTCAAAAATCGGGCATATCTTGGAACCTTTTGGATAACCTCAAGGAGAGGTATATTGATTTCCACCTTCTGAAATACATCTAGTATTTCATTTTCCTCAGTTTATTTATCCCTCTTTACTAACCTCGATGGAAAAGGTGGTGGCATGTCATAGGGAGATGGTATTGGATCCGTTTGTACTTCATCAATCTTCTTCTGGGATCCTGAATAACCAATCTTCTTCCCTTTTTGGATTGATTTATATTTTGGAATAGGTGGCGTGACTACTATACCACTCCGAAGAGTGATGGCACTGACATTCTCCCTTGGATTTACCTCTATTTGAGACGAAAGTTTACCTTGTAATTCTAAGCATCCTACGGTTTGAGCCAGTTGGCTCATCTGCTTGTCCATATCTTGTAAGTGGGCTTCGATACGAATCTGTAACTTTTCTTGGGAAAGAGCTAAACTTTCAACAATTAACTCTAACGATGACTTTTGCGGCTGTTGGGGTGGTGGAGGTGGCTTTGGTTGATAAGCTTGATTTGGCCTTGAGTTTTGGGTGTAACTGAAATTTGGATGATCCCTTCAACCTGGGTTGTAAGTATTTTCGTATGGATTATAAGCCCTCTGGGGAGGTCCTGGAAAGTTCCCCACTGCATTAACTTGAGTTGTTGTGTCATATTAAATCATTGGACAATCGTCTGTTGAATGATCAGTAATGCACATATTCCACATAATCTGTTGGGTCATATCTTTCCTGCAACAAGAGAGTTGATTACTTCAGTTAATTTATCTATCTTATTTTATAAAGAATATGAACTTATCTCATGAACCCTTCGAGGAGGATCATTAGTTGGGCGGAACTGTTGGAAATTTGTGGCCATTGTGAAAATTAAATCCCTAGCCTCAGTAGGAGTCATGATCACCAAAGCTCATCCACTGGCAGCATCGATCATCTTCATTTCCAGGGGAGTTAATCTTCATAAAAATATTGAATGAGTGTTTGTTCGGTTAACCCATGTTATGGGCAACTAGCACATAATTTTTTAAATCTCCCACAATAGTCATAGAGTGACTCTCCATCAAGTTGCTTGATTCCAAGTATTCTTCTTCGTAACTCACTTGCTTTCGCCGCAGGGAAAACCTGTCAAGAAAAAGGTGAGTCATTTGAGCCCATGTAGTAATAGAATTTAGGGGTAGATAAAATAACTACTCCTTAGCTGAATTGGCTAAAGAAAAAAGAAAAGCTCTAAGTTTGATTTGATCCTCAGTTACTCCCTGTGGTCTCATACTGGAGCAGACCATGTAAAATTCGTGAGATGTTTATGTGGATTCTCGTTTGGTAATCCGCGAAAGGTTGGGAAGAAATGAATAAGGTCAGTTTTTAATTGGTATAAAATTTCATCTTAGGGAAAATCAATGCATAAAGGCTATTGTTCAGTAGGAGATGCGGCTAACTCTCTGATAGTAGGATCAACCATCAGATTTGGTTTTGTATTAAGGGATTCACATGAATTTGATTTTGAATTTAATTCTGGATCTGATTGTTGTCTCTTTTTTTCCCGAAGCATTTGTGCATGAAGTCTCCTAGTTCTGGCTTCGATTTTTGGGTCGTATTCCACTAATCTGCCTAGGTTTATCCTGTTTATAAATCAAAAGCAAACAAAAATTAATAACTTTGGCGAAGTCCCCAGCAACGACGCCAATTTGACAATTGTCGTTTTGATGTAAAAAAAATCGTTCTTCTCAATTAATAAATAAAGGAAATACGTAGTAAATAGAAGTAAGGGTCGATCCTCAAGGACTTAGAAAATTCTAAATTTCTCTTTGAATTGCTTATATCAGACGATAAGTAGTAAAAAAGGGAGGTTTTGGTAAAAAGGATTTGAAAAATAAAAAGCGATTTAAAGAAAAATAAAGAAAGTAAAAATTGAAGGTTGAAAATGAATATGGTAAAAACAGTCTCAAGCCTCACTTTGACTCAATTTCCTTAGGATCATCGAATTAGATTTTCCCATTCGGGATTCATTTAGGTTACTTTGTCTACAAGGGCAATCCTCATGACACTTCTTTGTATACCGAATACCCAAGGCAATCTTTGATTTCAGCTTCAGAAATTGATATGATCAACATCAATTTTCGTAGATCAATAACCGTTTAAGTTTGTGAAGATCGACTCGGATTGTTGTTTCAATAACTACTAATTCCGATCTCAAATCCCTATTGGCAAGGCAATCTCGCCAATTGTCTTCCCAGGAAGTCGAATGTACTTTCAATAAGCCGATCATTCCTCCCACACATTTAATCGCAACAACATCTTGACCAAAGTCAATCTTTGATTTTGAAAACTGTTTTGATTTTGAAAATAAGCACAGAGATTGAGAGATATATTCCAAAGTTATTCAAGTGATTTTCAATTCTCACATTGGAATTGAGTCATCGCTTCAGCTCTCGACTTATGAGAAAATTAGCTAAGCATGACAAAAGTTAAACTTAGCGTATTTAAAAACAAATCTTAAAATAAAAGAAAAATGAAAACTTGAAAAATAAAAGAGATAACTTTTATAAAACTAGAAAGGAGAATAAGAATAAATTCTGAGTTGTGTGTATAGGCTCACCCCAATAGGGTATTTACAGCCTCTAAAAACATAGAGAAAAGCATAGAAATTAAAATAAAAATATCCTCAAGATAATTTCAAATGTTTTCTAAATTCAAACTTTAAAATTTAAAAATAAGTCTCTTAATATATCTCTACCCGTCCACCTTGTAGAAACTGCCAAGTCAGACCATGTCATTCCCAGAGTCATGCCCATGTCTCCAGCTGTGACCAAATAATAAAAAAATGCATAATGCATCTGTTTTACTATTAAATCTGGAAAGTAAGTCTATACACGAAAATAAGCATAAACAACCAAATTAGCAGCAATAAATTCATAGGATCGAAGAATTAACGATCAAATAATATCGATTTAGAACACTCATTAGACTGCTACTTTGGCCACGTACTGTTGATCTCACTCTCATCACTGTCAACGTCCCGGCTTGTTGCATATTCACTTGTCTGTCTTCCTTTCTCTTACACCGATTTTCTTCTTGTAGAACAACAACTGCAATGTCATCGAAGACTAGATTAGTGGCATTACTGTTTGTCAAGTTGATGATGAGTTAATAATACGAATCATATAGACTTTGAAGTAGAAGTTCAACATGTTCTTGTTCTTCCGTTGTACAGCTTAAAGATGTAAGCTGGGAAAATAAAGTATTCAACGTACTTAAGTGCTCTGTCACTAAGATAGATTCAGACATCCAAAAATTGTACAATTTCCTCTAAAGAAAAATTTTATTTTGCAACAATGTGGCCTCATACAATTTGGTGAGATGATCCCAAATATCCTTGATCATCTTCTTCACCTTAATGCTTGACAATATTTCATCTGCTAATGCTAGATGAAAGTTGGCCAAAGCCTTTCCATTCATCTCGTTCCATTTGCTATCATTTGTGGAATCTATCAACCTATCACTAATAGCCGCTAGAAAATTGTCTTTCCTTAGGTGGAATGAAAAAAGCAATAAGTAGACATTACACACTCAAATCAGGCTTTGATACCAATTGTTGCGAAATATGGTCGTCGAATAGAGTAAAATCGCAACTGATAATTTGAAAAAATAACAATGAAGGTAAATGAGGTCCAAATTTTACGTGAAAAAACCCTAAATAATATAGAGTCAAAACTACGGACAAAGGTAGAAGAATTTCACTATGAGAAAATAAGAATTACAATTTCTTTTGATCTAACAAGGAGAAACAATAACAATTCTCTTTTGATAAAAAGGAGAAAACAACTCTTAATAAAACTCTCTAATTTCTCTAGTATTGAAAGAAATTTGGAATGATTTGGGATGATTTTAAAGCTAAAATGACTAGTGTATTTATAGTTGAAGCTTAAGAATTAATCTTGCAAATAGCCTAAAGTGTAAGGATGAAATGAGTAAATTTTCCCTTGCCAATTTTCAACCAAAATCAGCTGGAAATCTTGAAGTTTACCCTCTGTATCAAATTGTGAATTAATGCACCGAAATTACTTTTTGACTCTAAACATGTTGATGGGCATTATTAATGACTCATATACCTTGCATTTTCATTTTTGTAATTTGGGTGATGACATAAAAGATAACAAAAAGTGCAGGTGGTAACATATAAGTGTAAAAAAAAGAGTCGTATCCAATTGGTTTGAAAAGAGGATTGGATAGATTTTCGATTGAAAAGAAATGTTTTTTGGATCCAGTTCCTTCGAACAAATTGGTTTGAGAAGAGCTGTAGGGTGGCTTAGATCGGACGATTGCAAGAATTTGAAGGAGACTGAAAATAGCTTTGAATGAGTGGAATCATAAGTCATGCGGGAATTTCACTTCTAAGGTGGCTAGGGATGGATAAAACCCAAACCCGACGGGGAAAACCGAAAACTGAATTAAACGGGTCGGGTTCGGGGATAATAAACGGGGACGGGGAAGGGGAAAAATCGTTTATGCTAAATGGGGACGGGACGAGTTTGGTAATCCCCGCCCCGATTACCCGGCCCGATAAATATTAAAAATAATTATTTTATATATATATATATATATAATATTAATAAATTTAATTTAAATTAAAAAATATATATAATATTTATATATTTAATTTAAATATATATACCCGGCTCAATACCAGTTTAAATAACCGTTTATGCTAAACGGGATACTCGTTCCCCCGCGGTTTTCCCGATTATCCGATGGGGATCCCCGTTTAAATCCCGCGGTTTTTTAAGCGGACGAGTACGGGATTTTTAAACGGGGACGGGGGACCAATACCCGGCCCGAACCCGGCCCGTTGCCATCCCTAAAGGTGGCTCTGCAGGAAGATAAAATTCATTCTAGCGAGGAAGCGGGTAATGTGGATCCTTGGACGATCAGGGTCAAAAGGATCTTATTTTATATAGAAGAGAGTTGTGGGAAGTGTTGAGGGTACAAGAAGATGTCTAGCGTAAAATGGATGATGCTGGGAGATTCGAATACGGCGTTTTTCATATCTCGTTTAAGTTCTGAGCCCATAAGAACACGATATCGCGGCTAAAATTTGGTGAGTGAAGTAATGTTTCGAATAATTATTGGATTGTTAGACACAAACATAATAAAAATAGAAGGATTTATTGCATCGCAAAATATTAATAGTTTACAAAGTTTCATGTATCTTTTGTTATCTCTTGCTCATATACATATTACAGTAGACAGGAAGGATTGGTCCCCAGTGCTCTTCGGGTTTCACTGCTTTCGTTGTGAATCCGATTGATCGTAAAATTAGTGAAGATATAAAGAGCTTGGGATGGTTGAGAAAATGTAACATGATGATCACCTCCTTTCACTATGAAGAACGTCAATAAGTCTCCAAATGAATACTTCCTCCCTCCATCCTGCTCAATATTGTAATTATAAAACAAATAATTGTAATTATAAAACAAATAACACGTTAAATGCATAAAAATACTAACCTTGTTTTCATAACTCCAGGTTTCTTCTTTTGTAGATTTGATGTTTAAGTCCTCGGCCAATTTGTACAAATGTTGTAAGGTTCCCACTGCAGGCACCAGAGCGTCTACATCTCCGCTGTAGCATTACAATCAAATGCAAATAAGATCGAACAAAAAAAATGTCATTAGAACGGCATACAATTTTTATTGAACATAAAGAAAAAGAAGATGAATAAATGTCGACCTGAATATTGTAATGTGAACCGATTGTTGGAGAAGCCTTTTTAAGGCGGGAAGCATGTCACGGTTCTTATCATTCTCGTTGAACTTAAATTTATCCCTACATCGATTAAAACGAGATACGATGAAAAGTTTATTTTTTTAAAATTAATTTTGGGTAAGTCACCCAGACTCTAGAGACGAACTTACGAGTAACAACCCTTCCATGAATATGACAAGCTGGTTCGGTTCCCGTGGAAAGCTTTCTGAACTTCCGGAAGATTAAAATAGAACTGCGCCCTTGGGGCAGCACACATGTCTGCCCCATGACTAACCTTGGTAAGCTGGACGAAAATCGAAGATTTATCGCAATGATATCGTTGATAAAAGAAAAATATCGGGGGAGAAAAAGGAAATAAAAGGAAACCTCTTTGCCTAGGCTCAAATCATTCAATTTTTTCATGTCGCAGGGATCGCGTTGGACATCGAAGCGTTTCGAAATGACATAACCTCGATCGGAAGAATTGAAAGCGATGAAAGGGGCATTCTCAATAAGATCGTTGCAAGGTTTAGTCCAATTGGTTTCGAATTTAGAAGAGTAATTGTTTTCGTCAAGGGTCTTGCATTCCTTCTTGGCTTGCTCGTACACTGTATTGTTTACCAGCCCTATCGAGTGAAAGTAATCGTACATTGCTAATGCGTCTAGCTTTTTACGAAGCAACGGGTTCCCTAACTGTTCAAACGGGAAGGTTTTTAACGAGGCATACAATCTAAATAAGAATTATTCGTTTTATAATAAAATCATCTTGCCGAGCAACTATGAATTGTACTTACAGCCAATCCTTTGACATTGAATTTGAAGTCCTTGGATTGCTTGTTGTGATCAAGTAAAGCATTAGCAAGATTAGGTACGAAATGTCCTGCATAGCTTGATCCAGCTAGAAACACATCTCTCGACTTGAATTCTGGGTATTTTCCGTACCATTTTTGCATGAAGCTAACCAATATTTTTGCTGTAATATACAAACCAATGGAAATTCTCATAATATATGAATATTTAAATCAAAAAATCACGAGGAATATATATTGGGATCTTACTAGTACTGTCATCTCCGTTATTATAATCGCTAATCGTATTTGAATATGACCATCCACATCCAATAGGAGAGTCGATGAACAACAGATTTGACACTGCAACAAAATCATATAATGAGCATCATACGATACATTCGATTAAAACTACATGCATCATGTCATTTTAATCTCTTTTTTCTCTCTCTATATTTATATACACGAATATGAATAAAATAAGAGAGATAAAGGATATATATATATGCACAAATCAGTATAAAAAAGGGTAAGAAAATGAAACTAGATTAGACAACCTTTGTTCCAAGAGAACAGATTCTTCTCGAGGGCACGAGCATTTCTTGTTGTAACAAAAGGACCAACACTAGAAAACCCATCTCCAACCGAAGAGCACCCGGGTCCTGAATATTATTACATAAAATACTTTATTATTTCTTAATACTAAATTATACTTGGAGGATGCATTTAATATGTTCGAACATATAAAGTAATAATGTGATCTCATCCCGGAAAATGTACAATTTGACATATGATTAACTATGTGTATGAAGTGGTGTGATTCTTTTAATATTGGGATAATGGCATAATTTATGTACCATAAATGGTTATTTTGTTCTTTATTCAGATCGTTTTATCGTAATGTTTTAATTTTTTGTCAAAACAGACCTTGTCAGATGAAAACCGTTTGTTGACTAACGGTCAATACATATTGCTGACGTAACATTTTCACTTGTGATCAATTGATGACGTGACACATGTTACGTCACCCAAAATGATAATGTGGCATGTGGCATGTCACCCATAGTGCTGACATGACATGTGTTATGTCACCTCCAAATGATAACGAAGCATGTGTCATGTTGCCCAAAATGATGACACGGAACATATCACATCATCAATTGATCACACATGAAAATGCCATGTGCCGTAAGTAAACTAACGGTTTCCATTCAGTAGGGATCGTTTTGATAAAAATGAAACGTTAAGAGATAAAGTAATCATATACGTAAAAATACACAAAAGGAAACTAACCTCCGGTCAACCAAATAGTGAGGGGTTGATTCATGGGATCTTTTTCAGCTTCAACAAAGTAATAAAAAAGACTTGGACCGAAACCACCATCATCCACATCAATATACCCAGAAAATTGTCTGAAATGAACATCGGGTTGACCCGGTAATTTACTTATCAAATCATCCATCGGGAAACCATTAACTCCAACTGCATGCGCAAGCAGAAGATAACTAGTAAAGATTATAACATGAAACTCCATTGGATCCTTACTTGGAGGAAATAAGGATACCAAACTATTTATTTATTTATTTTATTTGCAATACTTGAATGTTGATGCATAGAGCTATTTATATATGTATAACATTCATCTTTTCCAACTAAATATACCGTTTTATCAGCTAACAAACCAATGGTGTCACATGGTTTTGAGTTGTCATTGTCTTTCTTTAGTCATTGATTTGTTATTTTTGTTTGCCAAATAACATTTAGTGGTTATTACTAAAGGTAGTTTAATTGGCTCTAAAAATTAGTGTTACTGTTTTATCTTAAAACAGGAATTATTGTTTTGACTTGTAATCATTTATATATACAAAAGAAAGAGTTAAATGCATGCATCATACGTCCTCAAACTATGATCCTCTTTTTAAATTGGCACCTAAACTCTCAACCATTTAACATTAAACATTTACACCCCTGACATTCTTACTGCTTGAACCTGAAGACCTCAAGGAACAACAATAATTCATTTACCACCGAGGTCGCTTGGCTCGTTAAAAAATAAATTATTCTTAAAATCCATGTATCATAGAATTGAGAGACTAACATATGTGGTGTTTAGTAAATACCAAAACATTGTATGAAACAAAATTAGTATGATCTTTTCATATTCACAGTTTATGACTGTGAATGCTACTGCGATAGAAAAATACCAAACAGTTCATACATTAACAATTAGTCTTATTATTATTTAGTCCCTATACTAAACTAAAATTTCATATAAAATCTCTAATTTTGATTACATGAATGCTTGTTAATAGATTTAAATCGATAACACTATTAGTTACATAGTTTTCTTTAGATAATCTTTTTAATTATTCTATTGACGTGTAAATTTAACATTACTCGAATTTGATTATGTTTTCATGTGATTTGGCACAGGTCGTTACCATGTCAAAATAAATAGCCTTAATCCCAATCAAATGAATAAGAATAAGTAGAATAGTGAGAGTAAGGGTCGATCCATAGGGACAAGGAGTTTGACGATTTTCTTGCTTTTGATCTGGCTTCAGGCGTGATTTGTAAAAGAAATTAGAGGGGGATTTTGAAGAATTGAAGGCAAGTAATAAAATTCATTGAAATAAAATAAAATGGAAAATTTTAATTGGTAGAAATCAGCCTTGGGCTAAAAGCTTTTGTGTCGATATAGTCTATAGGGCCCAACCTCTATATCTTATTTTTCTCTCAAATGAATCAAGAATCTAAAATCTATCTTTAGATCTCGGTTCTTTGTGTGTTAATAGCTTCAATCGCTTATTAATTCAATGCTTTAAAAATCAGGAAAAATCCGACTCAGATTCTATCATCTCAATTGAGAATCTAACCCGATTTTAGTTTCCCTTAGAGGATCGTCGCTAAGTGTGTTTATATGAAGTCAAACGTGCCATAGGTTGATCCTTCTTCCCAACTTTTAATCGAAATCAAAATTCAATTCCAACGTTCACTTTTGAAATGAAATCGCCTTGATTATAAAATGATGGTCGATTATCGATCCTTGATTTCCAAAAATTGAAAATGGAATCCTTGAGGGTATGAAGCGTTTTTCAATTCTCATGACTTAGAATCGAGTCATCACTTTAGCCCTTGGCTTTAGAAAGATTAGCTAAGCATGGTAGAAACCATACTTAGTATTTTGAAAGAAAAATAAAGTAACTTGGAATTAAAATAAATGGAAAGAAAAACTTTTATAAATCTAAAAAAAGAAAGAAACAAGAGAGTTTGAAAATGATCGAATGCTCAAGTGATGAGTTGAATTTGCTTTGAGGCCTACCCCAATGAGGTATTTATTGTCCTAAAAAACCCTAGAAAATAATATTCAAAACAAAAGATAATTCCTAAAAATAAAAATAAGATAAATTCTAATTTGAAATAAAAAATTCGGCTAAGTCTCCTTTTCCACGCCACTGCTAATTGGATCTTCTAGAAGTTGCTGACTGGGTCTTCTAGAAGCTATTGAATGGGTGCCACATCACCTGCCACGTCAACTGCCATGTCATTGCCACATATGTTGTCACATCAATCACTGACTAGATGCCATGTTGGGTATGTCATGTCCCAAGTCGTGCCCACTAATTCGGCCATGAGTCCAAAAAATAAAAAAATTGCACGATTTCTTTGTTTTTAGCATAATTTCTGGAATTCAATGTTCTGCATTGAAATGACTGAAAAAGGCCCAAGTTAGCAACTAAAATTATCTAATGAAGGAGTAATTAATCATAAAATAATGTATAATTTAAACACTAATCATTCACCATACTCTTGATTGTACCCAAGCTTCTCTAATAGCATTTACAACCAAATTGTTTCTTTATTGCCTTGTGTAGCTTCTACGCATTCTGCCTCTGTTGTTAACGTAGCCACAACTGAATGTAGTTTTGAAACCTAGCTTACAGCTCCACCAGCTACATTGAACACATATCCGTACTAGATTTGCTTTTATCCAAATTCTCTGCATAGTCAAAATTGACATACTCATTCATAAGAAAATCTGATCCTCTTTAACATAATGCAACATTTAAGGTCCCTGTATCTCAGGATCCTTTTCACTACATTCCAATACTCTTTGTCTGGACTCGCCATGTACCGACTAATCACTCTCACTGCTTATGCAATGTCTGGTCTTATGTATATCATAGCGAACATTAAACTTCAAACTATTGATGAATACGATAGTTGAGACATCTTCATATTTTTTTTCACTGCTAGGACACGTACTGGAGGAAAATTTGAAGTTAATTGGAAGAGGGGTAGAAATTGGCTTACAATCTTGCATGATGAATCATGACAAGACCTTCTTCAAGTAATTCTTTTGTGAAAGCCAAATCTTCCTATTACTTTTGTCTCATTGAATTTGCATCCCTAGAATCTTGTTTGTTGGTCTCAAGTTCTTCATTTCAAATTCCCTAGCCAGTTATGCCTTTAAATCTTTAATATGAAATTTGTTGGGGCCTACAACAAGCATGTCATATACATTCAATAGCAATATAACGAAATCGTCATCACCAAACCTCTTGAAATAAGAACAAGGTTGTGATAAATGTAATTAAATTATTTTGATATAACAAAGGGCTAAACTGAAAATTTTGTAAAATTGATTTTTTTATCATATTCGATTAAAAAATGTTTTCAAGTTGTAAAAATAATATTTTAAAGGATTTATTGTCAAAAATAAATTTAAGATTTTTTTTGAATTCATTAAGTTTTAAAATACTTTTGCAAAATAAAACAAGTCTAATTTTCAATATTTTTGAGCTTGGTTTCGAAACCCCTTAAGGTGGTTTCGAACCCCTTATGGTAGGTTTAACCCACTACTAGTTCAAAACCCTCTGTACAATGGTAAAATTTTTCAAAGGTGAGTTTCGAAACCCCCTTGGGTGGTTTCAAAACCTCTATGAAGATTTGCATTGAATGCGTGAATTTATTGCTCCAAATGACTCCAAACTCGCTCCAACAACCCTAAAATGACTAGAAATCAATGAAGACATATAAAAGGAGTCTTCAAATAGCAAGAGAGGAATAAAAAGTTATTCTAACAATCAAACAGCAATTAGAGCCAAATTCATATTCATTTTGTGTCTTTCTTACATTGAACACTATTTCATTCATTGTAATTTTTATTCTAGTGTTCTTTTGTGTGTGAGAGAGCTTCAATTTACAAATAATCTATTGTTGAATATTTTGATATTTCGATATAACAAATTAAGATAAATGAATTTTAAGATTTTCCAAAAGGTTTTCTAAGTATATTCGATATAATTATTCGAATATCCAAATATTACTCCAAACCTTTCAAAAGTCATTTTTAATCCTTACTCAAGTGTAAAATTAAGTTTTAATCTTACAACAATTTCAAAATAATTTTACAAAGTATTTCGAACCGTTTTAAAGCCAAAAATTACAGTTTGTCCAGAGAGAACCGATTCCCCCCCAAGAGGGTACCGATTCCCCCCTTTAAGGGTTTGGCTCCGAGAATTTTAGTATTCTCGGAGGGAACCGATTCCCCCCTTTGTGTAACGGTCGAATATTTGAATTTTATACTTAGGGCACCGATTCCCCATCAGGGGTACCAATTCTCCCCACGCTCCAAGCATAAATATTAATTGTTTTCACACTTAAACGGCTCCAAAAACTTCATTAATGATCCCCAACATTCAGAAGTGATTCAAGGTGTATTTAAGCAAGCTTAGAAGCCATTGATCAAAAACAAGAAACATCAAACAACTAGAATCAAGAGAGAATCAAAGAGAAAACATCAAACCTCAAGTTTGAGCATTTCAAGCCTATTTTTCATTCAATATTCATTTTGCTTTCAAGAACACTTATTGTGCTCAATTGTATTCATTTTTTAGTGTTCTTTTCTTTGTTCTAGAATTGTGCAAACAATCTACCTTGTGAGGTTTTCCTTGTAAGTTTGCAAATTTGTATTGTCCTCTTTGGGAGAGAGTGTTCTCAAGAATTTGGGGTATAATTCTTGAGGGGTTGTAAGGTTACTCTTTGTCCTCAAAAGAAAGACAAATTAGTGAATTTGTGGAAAATCCTTAGTGTGGATAGCTAAGGTAGTGGACGTAGACTTTGGTTGATAAAGTCGAACCACTCTAAATCGTTGTGTAATTACTTTTAATTTTCTGCAAAAGCTTCCACCAAAATTTTAATTGCCAATTCACCCCCTCCTGGCCAATTCTGTCAATCAATTAACTCAACAATTGGCATCAAAGCCTAACTCATTTGAAGGTTTAATCGCCTCTTGAGTAGATTCGGGAAGAGTTATATCGATAATCAAAGTCATCAATGGCCTCCGCTTCAAACTTCGACTCCGGTCTCGATTCGATGCCCGTCAACAAGCCTCCTTTCTTCAATGGGGTTAACTATGCCTATTGGAAAAATAGGATGATGTACTTCATTCAAGCAAGTGATATGGGAGCATGGAATGTCGTAGTATAAGGATACATCAAGCCTCTCACTCATCCAAGATTATGGAGTGAAGGAGTGAAAAAAATGTTCTATCTCAACTCCAAAGCCAT